GACAAAGCGACGGGGAAAGAAAACTACGCGAACACAGAGAAAGGGGGAAGTGGAGGAGGGGGAGGGAGCCATTCAGAAAGCAAGGAGACAAAAGGATTGTGGCGAGAGAGCAGGAGTTCCTTCGGCCCCGGGCCGACCGTCCGCGGGGCGGAGATGGCGAGCTTCCCGTCCACAATAAATACGAAAAACCTGAGTACACAGCGCATACGGCATCTATCTGCCTAGCAGAAGCATTTTCCTTCCCACGAAAAAAAAACATCCACCGGCAGCCCCCTTCTCTCCCCCACCCCATATCCCTCACTCCGCAAAGACGTCCCTCCCGAACAGAGGGCCGGGGACGGGGGCGGCGGCTCCCGCGGCCTCACGGAGCGCCTTCAGTGTCCGAAGCCGTACATTTTGTCCCACTCCACGAACGAGTCCAGCTCCTTGGGCGAGGCCCTAGGGCCTACCTTGGCCAGCGCCGCCTCCAAGTCCTTGTAGGAGAGGGGGCGCTGCAGCCCCGGGAGGCCCGCCCCGGCCGCCGCCTGCTGGCACAGCTGCCCCAACTCGCCCCCGGAGAAGCCCTGGGTGCCCTGCACCAGGGCCGCCAGCTCCCGCTCGCTCAGCGCGCAGCCCTGCTGGGCCAGCGCCCGCTGCAGGATCTGCCCGCGGGCCGGGCCGTCGGGCAGCGTCACGTAGAAGCGGAGAGCGAAACGCCGGCGAGTCGCCTCGTCCAGGGCCGCGGGCCGCGAGGTGGTGCCCACGACCAGCACGCCGTCGGCTCCCGCACCGCAGCCGCCGTCCAGGCAGGCCAGGAGCGGCGCCTGCAGCGCGCCCGCGGCGCTCGTGCCGTCCTCCCGAGCCGACAGCAGCGCTTCCAGCTCGCTGATAAGAAGCACCGCGGGCGGGCGGCAGCGCGCAGCCGCGAAGGCGGCCTGGAGGAGGCGCGTGCCCTCGGCGGAGCCCGGCGCGGCCAGCGTGGCTCCGCGCAGGCGCAGCAGCGTGGCGCCCAGCTGCGTGGCGAGGCAGCGGCCCAGCAGTGCTTTGCCGGCGCCCCGCGGCCCAAAGAGCAGCACGGTCCGCGGCGGGCGCGGGCTGCCGGGGTAGGCGGGCGGCCTCAGCAGGGGCCACACCAGCTCCTCCTCCAGCGCCGCCTTGAGCGCGCCCTGGCCCGCTACGTCCGCCCACTGCACCGGCGGCCCGCAGTCCACCATCTTGCTGGTCACCAGCTCCAGGGCCCCCGGGTCCACACCTTTGGGAGGCTCCCCGGACGGCACCGCGAAGGCCCCGCGGGGAGCCGGCGCCGGGGATCGCTCCGGAAACTTCTCAAAGGGCTCGAGTTGCGGGCCGTAGACGGGGGAGCCCAGGACCTTGAGGGGGACGCCGCCACCGTACTTGCCTGATGCCTCCTCCGCCGCTCCCGGCGGCTTCGCCCGGAACCCGTTGCCCCGACACTCGCCATTGTCCGCGGCGGGGTAGGAGGCGCCGTCGGCCGCCGGGGCCTTGGCGGGCTCGAAGGCGTATTTGCGGTAGCGGCCCTCGGCGCCTTCGTCGGCCGCCTTGCGCTTCAGCGACACTCCTGCCTCCGAGGCCCCCTGGAAGCCGTAGGAGGAGGGCGGTGGCCGGGACGGGGCGGCTGTGGGCAGGGGCGTGGGCGCCGCCAAGCCCGAGGTTAGGTAGGGGGCCGGGGGCGGGGCGGGCGGCGGCGGGAGGGTCCCGTAGCCCGGCTGCGCGGCGTAGCCTCCCGCTGGGTAGTTGTACAGAGACCCAGAGGGGCCGTAGCCCGGCGGGGGCGGGGGCTGCAGGAGCGCGGCCGGGGGAGGCGGGGGCAGCGCGGCGCCGGTCTGCGTACAGTAACCGGGCGCCAGGTACCCCCCGCCGTAGCCCGCCGCGTACTCGGGCGCTGCTGACGGGCCCCCGCACGCGTTGCCGGCGTAGAGGGGTTCAGGTAGGTTACCGGCTAAAACCGGGGAACCCCCGAGGCCCCCGGAGCCGCCCCCAGTGCCCGACTTGGTTCCCGGGAGGCCCTCGTGGAGCGAGGCCAAGGGGTAGGGGGTCTCCGGCCCCGGCCAGGGCTCGGGGTCCCCCTTGGCGCCGTTGAGGAAGGCGGCGTCGCCGTAGCCGCCCAGGGTGGGGCGCTCGTAAGGCGAGTCCAGGACCCCCGAGTACTTCTCTGCGTAGCGCTTGAGGAGGTTGGAGGCAGTGAGGGCAGAGATGTCGTCGTGTGCCCAAGCATAGTGGCAGCGCTGGCGACCCCCGGGGGGCAACTCCAACTTGTGAGCCGGCGACGGGGTGGTGGAGGAGACGTCCAGGTGCTGCTCTGGCCACTGGTTGAGGGGCTGGGCGTGTTCCGGTGTCCAGTGCATCTTCGACAGAGCTTCAGGCAAGAGAGAGAAGAGTCTAGTGAGACCCTGCAGAGCCTCTGAGAGCCCGTCGACTGCCAGCTACAGGCCGACCTTCTTAAACCTTAGCTTGGGACAGGCTGGTTTTCCGGCATCCACCCACACCGTTCCACCCTCCCTAGGCCGTCTTCTGGCACCAAAACCACCATATTTGACTTGCCCCTCATGTCCCACAATTAAGTTGTCTGAAAATACTTTCCGCAGATCCAAGATGGATCTGAAAATGACATGTTTGGCCCTAACTTCACCTTCTAGGTAACGACTATTGTTTTGTCCTGGTCCCTCTAGCCCTGCCCTCTAGGACACATGGTCCTTACTTTTAGACCTGTTGTAGTGAAGGGTCAGGCAATGGGTAGTCCCCCCTTCCCCCGCCCCCAGCCCTGGGAATAGTCAAACCCAGGTGGGGCTCATTCAGTAACATATTTGCTGCACACCCACCATGTGCTAGGCACTACAGAGGCACTGGGGTTGTGTAAAGGCCCCTGGCCTAGCGGTGGCCCAGCAGTCTGATAGTCCTAAGTGCTCTGTTCACCTTAGCCTTCCCTGAGGCTCCAGGGGCTCCCTTTGGGCCTGAAGTGAGGGATGCCAGTGTCAGTGGCAGCACCATATCGGCCCTGGGAAACCCCAGAGGCTGACCCAGAAGCATTCACTTCCTTTCTACTTGGTTTCTTTTAGTCTCTACCTGATGAAGTTAGAGCACCTGGGTTCCAGACCCAATTCTGCCCATGATGACTGTGTGCAAAGAGCAGGTGCTGTCACCGGCCTCGTTCACAGAATGTTACACCACAGTACAAAAAGTTTGTTTAGAAAAGACATATATGTCTTCTAGAGAAGATGGGACAAAGTTAGTTCACAGCAGTGCGAAGTTAGTGCACATAATAGAAAGTGGGTCACAGATTTGTCTTGGAGCTTCCCAGGAACCAAATAACTCATCTTGCAAAGTAAAAAAAAAAAACAAAAAACACCATCATACTCAAAAGAAGCAAAAATGTTCCTGGCATTGAGATCATGGAACTTTTTTTCATGGACCTCAGGAAGCCGACCTGTGAGACGTAATAAAAGTGGCCTCTTCAGTGGCCGTGCTGTAAACACGGCAGAAGTGTTAACATGGCCGTTTTGTACACTGTCCCTCAGCACCAGTCCAGGCGTGGGCCACACTGGTAAAAGGGATCCAAGGCCTGGGGAACAGCACTCGCCAGGCATATGGTTCCAGCTGGGTGGCCTGATCTGAGGATAACATCTCAAAGACTAAATGGGCCCATGATATGCCAGAGATTTTTGCTGATGATTTTTCAAACCTAAGCTTTTGATAAGACAAGTTAACCTTACAGGTTCAATATTCTTTCTTCAACAAAATTTTATCGAGGGACTTCCCTGGTGGCACAGTGGTTAAGAATCTGCTTGCCAATGCAGGGGACACAGGTTCGAGCCCTGGTCCGGGAAGATCCCACATGCCTCGGAGCAACTAAGCCTGCGCGACACAACTACTAAGCCTGCACTCTAGAGCCCGCGAGCCACAACTACTGAGCCTGCATGCCACAACTACTGGAACCCGTGCGCCCTAGAGGCCGTGCTCCGCAACAAGAGAAGCCACCGCAATGAGAAGCCCGCGCACTATAACGAAGAGTAGCCCCCACTCACCGTAACTAGAGAAAGCCTGCATGCAGCAACGAAGACCTAATGCAGCCATAAATAAATAAAATAATTTTTTTTTTATTGAGCACATACTAAGAGCTGCACTGGGCATGGGGGCAGGTTGAAAGGTGAATATGATGATTCAACCAGGTGGAGGAGACAGACAACATCCTTTATGAGGTGGGAAAAGAGGTGTGTGCCCAGAGCTCTAGGGCTCGGGGGAATGTGCCATGCCTGGTTGAGAAGGCCTCACCAGGGAGGGGTATCTTTGCTGGACCTTGAAGGGTGAGAGACCAAAACTGACCAGACCAGCTAGAGGGTTCCAGCCCTTTCAAAGATGCAGAGCACAGTGCGTTGAGAAAGCCAGGGCTGGAATAGTTCATATGTCCTCTTCCCTCCTTCAAGATGCCTTACTGCCACCTTCTGGAAAATCTTCATAATAAATCTACAAATCTACCACGTCTATGATGTGAACTGTGCCCCTTTAGAGGTAGGGCTCCTGTGCAGTGCACAGCCTGCATAACCATACGCTGTAAGGCTAGAGGGAGCACCAAGAACTGTTGGGTCCCTGGAGCCTTGCAAGTGGGTATATGTGGGGGGAGGGGTGGAAGAAGAGGCTGAGAGTAATCAGGCCGCTTCTCAGGCTCCACAGTTGCCCTTACTTGCAGCAGCCTGACTCTATCACCTCTTATGGCTGTAACCTGATGTCAGTGGGTGAGGACAGTCTTTGAAAATAAAACTATTTACTCTCATCCCCGCTGCCCTAGGGAAGGCATGAGCCACGGATGCTAAATCTTTAAAAGAGGAGTTCGTAGATTTGTTTCGCCTCCATCTGAGAGGTGATCCTGGCCACCAACAGCAAGAGAGCAGAGCAGAGACAGCAGAAATGAGGGTGAGGTCTGAGGGATGCAGATATGCAGCTCCTACTGAGGGGTCTCCGAAGAACAGAGGCTTTACCTATCGTCAAACGGGTAATGTCCTGGGATATCAGAAATCCCAAGCAGTTCTGCTTGCAGGGTCATATGTAGTAACATCAGAGTCATACAAATGCAAAAATTGTGTTATGACGTAGCCCCCCAAACCTGTTTTTTTTTTAATTCACTATTATCTGTGAATATAGATAAGGAGTTTTGGCTCCTTAATATAGGGAAAAGAGATTTGAACGTGATGAGAGCACTTTCCCTGAACTTATTAAACTGGGCATGCTGGGGAAAAGGGTGGCCCCTCCCAGAAGGACATACATAGACACAGCAAGGAAGGCTCTGGGTGTGGACTTGTTCACACACATTTCCCTCGCCCACTGCCAGATCCGCTGCCGCTCCTTGTGGCTGTCCTGCAGTATCCTCCCTGCCCCTCAGCCGGCTCCTGCCCTGGCCTGCAGCAGTCTTCACTCAGGTCCCCACTTCCAGACCGAGCAAGCACTCAGGCCCTGGTCCGCATCAAACCACTCCACCTCAGCCATTGTGGACCATCCAGGAACCCACTACCTCTGGCCCTCCAAGCCTGTCCTCCCAGCTCCACACCCGTCTGTCTCATCTGCTCCGGGCTTAGCCCCTTGCAGGCTCTCCTAGCCCCTGCCCAAAGGGGCCCTTGTCCACCACAGCTCATCCCACCCACTTTGAGATTGTCTCTACCCTCAGTCCCCTCAGATACTGGCCTTCCGCTCCAGGCTGTTCTCTTCGTTTTCGCCAGGGGCACGTCTCCCTCACCTCTGGCCTTCTATTTTCACCTTTATCTCCATTTGCATCCATTTTGCAGGCCAGGCGGCCTGAGGCCTCAACCCATGACCCCATCTGGCCCAGGCTGGGACCTTGCCCCACGAATTAACTATTCTTCCCCACTACCATGGCCTGGCTTCATCCCCACAGCAAGCTTAATTCTTTCCCATTTTCAAAAAGACTTCCTTTACCCTAAGTCCCCTACTAACTACCAGCCCATCTCTCTTGCCCTTCTCCTTCATTCTTCCCTCAAGCATCACTCTCTGCCTGCAGTGATAGCGAGGTAGAGCATGCTATGTCCCTGCCCTCACCCTCAGGCCAGTTACAGCCCTCTCCTCTCCCACGGGGAGGTGGGGCCTGCTAGTCAGGAGCTGTAGGGATCTCCCCTAGAGAGGGACCCCACCTCCTTCCCAGGTTCATAGGGCACACTGCAGTCCCTACATCAGCTGAGCTACACATGATGGAAGGCCTGGGGGACTCGGGGGAAGGTATGGGTTTTGAGTCATAGAGACCTGGGTTTGAATCCAGGTTCAAACACTTATGATGTGAGCCTGAGCAAGCTGCCTAACCTCACTGAAGCTCAATTTCTCCACCTGTTAAAGGGCATAACATATGCCTTGCAGAATGGCCATGAGGATTTAAAAAGATAACATAAGTACACAGTCCAGCGTCGGATATAAAGTAGAATGATAAATGGTACAATTAGGAACCTGAGCAGTGGCTCAACCTTGCTGAGTGAATCTGAACAAGTCACTTCCCCTTGGGGTTGGGGGAATGTGAAGAATGTTCCAGCTCTGATATGACAGACTGGTCCTTATGCCATTTCCTCTCTGTCCCCACTGGGGGCAGAGCCAGCCCCTTCTCCGTGCTTTATGCACGGTCTTGTGTAGCCCTCACAACAGCCCATTGAGAAATACTATTGTCATCATCCCCATTTGGCAGATGAAGAGACTGAGGTACCCAGAGATTAATACATCCCTAAGGTCACACAGCTGTTACCCAGGGGAGCAGGATTCACACCCCAGCAGTCTAACTACAGGGCCCAGGCCCTGACCTCTTGGCTGCACTATCTCCCTGGTCTAGCCCTTGGTACTCACAGCAAGAGAAGAGCCTGAGGCCAATGACACAGCTTCCACCAAGGCTCCGTTTCCTTGGCCCTAAGGAAACGTGTTTCGGTGTTTACCCGGGAATGTGGCTATGCTTCAAGTGCTGTATGCATACCCTTCAAACCTGCAGTTGGAAGCACCTCTCCCTGGGGGATCCCAAGTTAACTGTGCCCCACACGCAGAAGAATTGTGCCCTCTCACTGCAAAACAGCCCAAGTAGAGCTGTGTCCCTTTCACCCGCAACCTTGCCATCTGATAAGCACTCACACCCCTAGGCTGGGCAGACAGTTCCTTATTTGGGTGTGTGGTCTTCGCTGGGGGTGGCTGGGACTCTGTGGAGAAAACGCCACTTTTTGAAACTGCACCCTTTGGGGAGCAGAGGAGGTCAGGCTCCTCAAGCAGCTCTTTCTCTGCAGACCCTTGGAGGCTGGAACTCCACTTGACTCCACACACAGAGTGCAGTCCTTCAAACTCATAGGTGGTCAATAAATAGTAACAGAAAGAA